TAGTAAACAAATTTTCGAATTAACTTTTTTCCTAAAAATTATATATCTACACAAATTTAATGTATGGAGTTCACTTTTAACCTTATTAATAATATTTGCTTTAATTATTATTTTTATTATTGGTGATTAAACTTGAAAATTAAAAATTATTGTACCTATTAAAAGCATATATTTATTATTTAAAAATATAATTCGATTAAATTTGAAATAATTATATTTAAAAAATGTTTGTTACTATATTATATAACTGAAACAATGGGTTTCAAATTTACTTGATATTACAATTTTTTAATCTTTTTTTATAATTACTGAATTTGGTTTATATTACTAGCTATTATTGATAATCAATTACTGTATTTCTGTACTTGTATAAATTTAATGCTGGCTAAACAAACATCTATAGCTTATTAAATTTGTTTTCTTTTTGCATAAGTCAATCTGTATACAATCTCATTTTTTTTTCATTCTACATGAAGTACGCAAAATGAATATTTTTTCATAATAAATGTTTCAGGTAAATCAGTATGAATATAAATAGTTTTATTAGAATGTCTTTTATTATCGAAATCAAATTATTTATGAGACTTTTTTGAGTGCAATGTAATACTTTAGTCTTGAGTTGTGATACTTTTGTAAAATGTTGTTTGGAATAAAATATTTTTATAGTAACAACATTATTGATTTATGAAAAAAGTAATTTCACCAATAATTTTTAAAAAAATGCGATGAATTTGAACAATAACTTATCATGAAGTGTGCAGTTGATAAACGATTTTAATTAAAGATAACAATAATTACTGTGTAATAGACGATAGTGTTATTACTCAAAGACAGTAGTTGATCAAAGAACGTCGAATGCACAATACATGTGATGAGAGTGTTTGGACGAAAGGTGAAGAAGCTGTTAAGGATTAATTAGATTCCAAGTTACAACGCAAATATACAAAAGGTCTTACACGTGTATGCATTTCGATTTTGTGTGGTGAAAACGTGACAACGTTAGCATTAACATAAGCATAAAAACCTTTTTGTAATAGAAGACATCTAGGATCACAACAGAATAAGACATTCTCAGTACGCGTTTGGTTTCATTAGCGAATGAAGAATGAACCACTGGAGGAGAATGATGCAGAATTATCGATGATTGGATCATAGTAAGGACAATCCATGTATAGAGCAAAATATACTAGCTGGTGGAAGGATTATTGTATTTGGGGTTTTATGAAACACCTTCCCGCTTAACCTCGTATTGTAGTGTTCTAGTTTTAATCATATGACAAACTGTTCTATGACGATGACAGCAATGGAGGTTGTCAATGAGCTTTACATTGACAACTTTCAAAGAAAGACATTCATTCTTTTTTGCTAGTCTTAATGGAACTTCTATTCGACATACACATACAACAAATGTTGAATGAGGTTTACATGGGTTGGATCGATGAAAGAAAATAACAAAAATGTTGTTAAAATAATTAGTTGATATTTTATTAATATAATAATATAATATAGTATAAATTTTCTTCTGACTTATCTTAGCCGACCTGATGTACACATAGACTATGCTAAAATGTAGTGTCCGTCATACAATATAAGCAAGTTGCTAACGCTAATTCTAAAGGCTGTGTATTTCTTTGGGGACGGGACAAATGAAACTAACGTAGCAATAAAGTCCAGAAAAGAGAGATTTTAGAATCCAAATTTATTATGGACTTTTAATTAGTTGTTAAATAGTTTTGCAGGAGTTTCATTACGCTCAATCCTCGACAATGGATACGACCCGAACGACAATGGCGTCAGGGTAACTTCGGTTCAATTATTTAAAAGAGGGACTTATATTATTATGATAAATATCACAGAAACCATCTGCTATGTTATGAGGTCTCATGCAAATTTAGTTAGTGAAAATCGTTTCAGTATTTTGAGCGTTATGATTTTGGAGATATATAATTTTCATCAGTTGTAAACTATCAAATGAATTCATTAACTTCATAAAGATCTGAATTTGCCTAAAATTATTTTAGGTTTACTTTAGGACCTAAATAGGCCTCCCAAATTTATTTAAATGAGCTTTTATACAACTTTTGCTAAATGTTTAATTTATCTTCATTAACTTTAAACTTTTTAAAAATATTTTTTACATATTTGTGAGTTGGGCAAATTTAAATCAATTATCAATATAGTCCTACTATTCATCAAGATACTAAAAATTGTTTTTGATTTATTCCTGTGAAGTTAATACACTTGTACGTATCATAATTAATGTTCAAGTGTAGAAAGTGCATAAATAATCTTAGCAATTCAACACGGTAAGATTTATACCTCTATTATGTACCCTGAAGTTTTATGATCTTTCTGAACCCATTAACAACATGCAATCATTCTAAAGTAATAAACTTTTGTAATTCAAAAGTTTAAATGACTATGCATAATATGTACAATTAGGGATTGGTTACTATTTAGTATAAATTTCACTTACCGAAATCTATCCTTAGCTTGATCCTCTGAGCTTAATAAATTATTCAACTCGTATGTACTTGATGTTATGATATAGTTGCAATAAAAAAAGAAACATTTAGTAGTCAAAGAAAAAATGTTTATAAGATCATGGGGAATTAAATGAAATGTTTTTTCTGACGAGATTGTCAAATTCGTTTAATTCTTTTCATAAAAAATTTAAATAAGTACCTGAAATGAAAAAAACCGGTAGTACAGTGGAGTCGCAGCACAGTATGGAAGTGGCATAGTAGGGACAAGTATAGATGATATCTGACAGTGATTAAAATCATTATCATAAGAAACGCTTCAATGTAAATCTGTAGAAAGTGTTAATTTTAAGAAATTTGTGGATTATTTAAAAGTAAAATTAATTCATATTTCCTTCATTGTTCCTAATTAGGAGTTCTATGATTTATAAGTATGATATATGACTAAATATCTATTAAAACAATTCATCGTAGTATGAAATTGATATTTAATAATTTACTATTGTAATTTTTACGTAGAAATTATAAAAATTTTTAAAGTAGTTGTTACTCTTATTGCAAATATGTATAAAAATTGAAAAGGCTGATAAAAAATTTTTCATAAGTTAATTTGTTGTTAATGATGAATAAATAATCTACAAGGAATTTTCAACGGAATCAAAAATTTACTTTTCTTGAGCAATTTTTCGCGCTGATTTCAAAGTTACTATTATATAGTTTCTGTCGCCACTAATTTTTGATATTATTACTAATTTATTCAAAATCGAGTATTTACATATAAAAAAAAAAATAAAAATGAGTTGAACATTTTTTTTTAACTCAAAAAGAATTAAGGAAAATTGCAAAAAAATTATTGCCACAAGCAATGTTTTTTACTGAATTAGCAAACGTTTATCGCATTCGTTGTTTGATAAAATTGGTAATTTAAGATGATGTAAATGTTAAAGTTACTTTTTTCAACTTAAAAGAAAAAAAAAATGAAATAAGTTTAACTTTATATTCAATGTCAATTAGATTAATAATATTTATGAAAATCAGTGTACTCTTCTTATAAGGTACATTAAAATAATTTAATATACAATACCAAGAATTGTAACACAAAAATAGCATATTTTTGAATATGATAAACATATTTTCACTTTACTCGAAATTTTTTTTTAATAGTAAAGTTATTACATATGCTTTAATTTTAGATTAACTAAAAGTGTCAATATTTCCGGAACATTTTCCAAAATTAAGTTGAAAAAATTTAACTTGAGTGCAAAACTGGCTTTTTTGAATCCTTTCTGTATGTAGATCAAGAATCAGATTTTTAAAAAATTTATGTCAAATAAAAGAAATATTTAAGGTTCCAATATAAAAAAAGAATTGTTTTAATTTGTTCATTTTTCAATAAGTTATGGCAGTTTTAAGTATTAAAATATTTCATGTTAAACAGTGATTTTTAATATAAAAATTACATTTTTTGTTAAATTTGATGCCCAGTTTTCCATAGGAAAAAAGGTGTCGGGACAATTTTTTTTTTTACTATATTATTTGTTGTAAGCTTTAATTTAACATAAATATATAGTTCGGAGTATTTCCCGAATATTTTAAAGAGTTAAGTTTTACTTTTTACTCGTATTTTTAAATATTTGAAAATGGTAAATGATTCAAATTTAAAAAAAAAGTATGTTAAATAAAAGAATTAATTATAAAGTATTTATGAAAAAAAGAATTGTATCGATTCATACATTTTTAAAAAAGTTATAGTAATTTAAAGTTGAAAAAATAAAATATGAAATCGTAAATTTTAACAACAAAATTGCATGATTTTTAACTATGGTAACCATTTGCATATAGAAGATAAGTCGTCGAGACAAATTGTTTGTTTTGAACTTATTGTACATAATATAAGCTTTATTTTAACATATATTTGAAGCTCAGAGTATTTCCGGAACATTTTCAAAACCTAAGTTAAAAAATTATTGTGCAGAAATTGCTATTTTGAATCTTCCATGTAGGCAGGTAAAGGGTTATATTTTCAAAAAAATTATATCAAATGAAAGGAAAATATTTAAGGTTTTAATATACAAAAAAATTATTGTGATTCGTTCATTTTTCAACAAATTATGGCAATTTTTAGAAGATATCGAAATTTACCGATTTTAAAAATCAAAATTTTTGGGGGTATTTTCGTCATTAACGGAGAATATGAGAAAAATTTTTATTTTTCGAGGATAATGTCTTCAACTAGAAACGATTTGTGATATTTTGACGTATCGTTGAGAAAAATCGGTCCAATGAGTGCTGAGAAAAAGTAGTGATAGACACACAAACAAAAAAATACATACTTCATGGTAATATTAATACCTTCTCAGCTTCGTATCGATGCTAAAATTACTTATAATTATCACGATGGTCAATTTTCAATATGCTTCGTGTAAAACATCAAAAATAAATTTACACAAGTACGGGATTTATTAGTTAAATTACTTGGACAGGAAAAAATGTACAAAATTATTTGTAAATGTCTATTAGATTTTATTGATTTACCATAACGTATATATATATATATATATTTATATATATATTTAAAATTGTTATAATTAGCAATGTTTTTTGTATAAAACTCTATACACTATATAAAAGGTACTAGTGAACAACTATACAGTATTAATCACAATACGGTCCATCAACTCGTCTATGTAATAATATTAATGTTAAACCTATACAATGATTAATGATGTAACATAGTGTTTTTAAAATAATGTTATACATAACAATACATAATAATATTGAAAAAAATATTATGAGCTTTATATATCTTACTATTAAATGCGATATCAAGGATTTTTTTACAATATGAGTTATTATGCTAATGGTTTTTACGTGTAAATTAAATGTTATAATAATATCAAACTATTATCATATAATAGTTTTAATTGATTAATTTTGAGTGTAAAATGATACTATTTACCCTTGGGAATTGTGTTAACTTTAAAAATTTTATATTCCGTTCGCTTGGAATTTAAAATTTCATTGTTTAGGTTTTAAATGATATACGTGCGCATAGAAAAATGTCAAATAGTTAGGTTATTTACAATCAGCACAGGTCTCTTAAGACCGGTCAAAATTAAATTCCCATTTCTTGGAATTCGTGATAATAAGGTTCAGTCGTTTGCAATGGAATGTACTTTGCACTTTTTATTACATACAGGTCCGAAAGAGTTCTGTGAATAAAGTATTTTATTGTTACACCAATAAAATTGATACGTCTGACGTTAAACGGTCTGTAAAAAAAATAAATCTTTAACCGGTCTTTACTAATAGTTTCCAAAAAAGTAAATTGATAGGCCTACAATGTTTCATACTCATTTTTCTGGTCACTAGGCAAACATTTATTTTTTCCGGTTGATACTATTTAAATTAAAGTTAATAGCCGTCCCTGGTAACCAAAGAAGGAGAGAGACAAAAACAATGGCAGTATCGAATGAATATCAAATGTAAACAGTTACAACACATGGCCATCTTACGTTTTGTGTTACAGCTTAAAATAAAAAAAAAATTTGAATATCTTGAATGAATTATTGCAATGGATTTGGTGATATAAAAATTGCACCAGACATCATAAATTTCGATTCTTTTTTATTTTTATTTTATTCTCAAAAACATCTGCTGAATGCAACAGACACAATATTAATTTATGTAGCTAATATTATCCATGGTAGATTACCTAACTTAGGAAACTAAAATGGGTGTATAGATATAAATCATGCATCATATATGTATGTATACATGTTTTCATTTTATTAAAACTTTTGGGTTTTAATGCGGAAGTACGGTAACTGTAGAGCGAATGTTTTTTTTCTACAAACAAAAACTCAACTACGAATATCTCAAGTCCTGTTAAAGGGTCGATAATATTTAAAAAGGTTAACCGGAACAGGAAGAACCATAAAAAAATATTTACCTACTTCGAAAATCTCTTTGATGGACTATGATGTGTACTAACAAAGTTTTATGAATATACGGAAACATATATTTGTTTTATAGATTTTATCATGTTATTACACTGTATTTATTTATTTGCTATGGGACTGTTTTATTGTAATTTAAACGTTCTAAATTGTACACGAAATCAAAATCATTACTAATATAAGAGAAAATTGACGCACATGGGTTTTCTTATAATGATAATACTTTTAAGTTAACTTTTATTGAGTAAAATGATTTTTATTCATTGAGTTTCTATTACGACTTATAAACTTAATAAACATTTTTTTTTTTTATGAATTAAATGCATTGAACTGTAGGACGTTCTTTTCATAATATTTTCTATCAAAAAATATCTTGAAACAACATATATTTCTAAAATTTCTATCTCAAAAAAAAAAAAATAAATAATAATAGTAATAATAATAACAATAAATATAAGAAACGACCTTAAAATATTAATGGATGTCATATGTTACAAAAGTATTAGCAAAAATTCTTTTCCCGAGTTTTTCTTGGTATAACTGTTATACTTTTACTATTCAATTATTATTTTAATAATGTAATAAAATAAACAAAAGATTTTTGATTTCTTGATTTAAAAATTAACTCTTTTTTATTCACACTGACGGCTTTTTTAATACTGAAAATATTCGGTTGTTTGAAATACATTTTTTCTCTGGTGATAACCATCCATGTCAACTGCCATCTGATATAATTAATTAAAAATTTCCATTTAAATGATGTCAGCTGATATTTTATAACTTATTGATTGACATTTACAATACTGTTTTTATATAATTACAGCACCGCCGTAATGATTTCTTTATGCTTAGTTTTCTACTTTATACAGCTTATTACTATTATAACATTAGTGTACATTTTATAAAATTACAATAATTTGTATCGTACAAATTTATTGGTAACTAAAATCGTTAAAAATTTATTTGATTAGGAGTCGGGACCTTCGCCCACATAACCTTCGTCAGGACTTTCGGAATTGGCCGATTGTTTTTGAACGAACGTAACAGCTTTATGTTGTTCAGGTGGTCTACTGTTGAGAGGTGCCGCGGCGGGTAAAGACGAAGGTTGTTGTTTCATATGTTGAACAGATTGCATTTCTTCTTCAAGAGTTTGAGCAGAAGCATTGGACAATGATGGTGGCTGTTCGTAGTACGCGGCCGAAGCGGCCTCAGAGAAGTAGCTGTTCGGTCCAGCGGTAACGAAAGGGTATCCCTGTTGATTGTACCTCACGTTTGGTGGTTTGCACCTTAAGTGATTGTGATGATGATGATTCCTATGTTGCACAAGTACGAATTCGGCTTCTTGGCATGACCGGCCCTGTGGCTTAGCCGCGTTCCGCCGGTATGGTAATGTTCGGTATAATGCGGGTGGTGGTGGATAAGGTGAAATTTTCGGTAGACCGTAGTCCGGTGGATACGCCATAGCACCGACAGCTATAGGTATCTTCGGTAAGCCGTAGTCTGGTGGATACGGCCCACTAGTCATTAGCTTACTCGGTGAAAGCTGCTGAAAGTCGTACCCTTCGCTGACTGTGGTCATCATGGGGTACACATTATTCGGTGACCAATAATCTGTGTGGCAAACCGTGGACGGTTGAGTTAACGCTAGTTTATAGACTTCTCCAGTTGTTTCGCGATGGTGATTGCCATTGTCTTTCACTACCGTGGACGCGTCGCTTATAAGATCTGGATTGGCTTCTAAAGTATTACAGTTCGGAGAGGCCGATGGTTGATAAACGTCGTAACCGGCTACGTGAAGAACTTCTTGTACCTCGTAAGTAGGAGCTGGTAAATTGTTTGCTTCATATTCATATACACTTATGTCTTCGGTAGATGACAATTTGCCATCAGCTACCGAAGAAACGGTTAAATTGATGGAATCGGATTGTCTTATGTCCGAGGTCGATTTCGTTTCTTGAGAACCACTAGCTCCAGCAGATGAATTGGATTTACCACTTCTAGTGGTTTTTCGGCTCGAACACATAAACCGACAGCTAATTATACACACTACTGCTACGATGACAAAACAAAATACACCACCGGCTAACACGGCTACCATCATTAAAGGAACTGGAGCCGCTGGCGAATAAGAGCCTGCGACCTTTTCGGATGGCCCTTGAATCACACGCACCGTGAAGTTACAAGATGCTTGCCCCGCTCGATTTTCAGCTATACATGTAAAGGTACCGTTATGTCTCACGGTTACGTCCGGCACTAATAAATCTGCTGTGGTATCTGTTGTCACAGCTAATGCAGTATTGTTATTTATTGGACGTCCTTCTAGTAGCCAGGAGATAGTAGCAGTGACCTCGGGCGGATTTAATCGGCATGATAGTGTTAAGTTTTTTCCAACTTCCGTTTCTTGAAATGCGGGCGACCAAGACTTTGCGGTTGGAGCACAAGCTAACTCGTCTCGAGATAATTTCTTTATGACTAAGCCCCGTAGTCTTTCGGGGGAGTGACATGTAGATTCGACAGTTTGAGGTATGCTGTTATTGTTGAGCCAGCCATGAATATCAAGTAAGTTACAATCACACATCCAGGGATTATGATGTATCTCTATCCCATGTAATGACAGCGGCAACACTGGACCTCCATTAAAACTTTCCATTCGGACTATGCGGTTGTTGTCGAGTCGCAACCATTCGAGTTTGGAGAGACCATCAAAAGCTCCTGGTTCGATAGTTTCGAGTCGACAGCCACTTAGGTCCAATACCGTTAGATATGATAACCTTTTGAACGCGGCCGTTTTAATGGATGTAACGGTGTTGCCGCCAAATGCAAACTTCATTAGCGAAGGGTAGTCGTCAAATGATTTGCTAGGTATATCAGCTATTGCATTGTCGGACAAATCGAGTTCGACCAAATTAGATAAGCCTCGGAATGCACTTTCGTCCACGTACGTGATTAGACACCGTGCCACGAATATTTTTTGTAAGTTGGTCAAGCCTGCCGTCATGAAACGACCTCGAGGTAATGAATTTATCGGGTTACCTGACATATCCAGTACCTGTGTCCCTCCATCAATTCCTTCCGGAATTGTAGGCAAGCTTTTGTTTACGCATTCTACTGTCTGTTTGCCACCTTTCCATTTACACGAGCAGCTTAACGGACAGGCCGTCACTACAACTATAAATGATGTTGCAGCAACGGCCAACAGAATTTTCGTCCCTAATAACATAATCACATGGTGTTCAGCTGACAGATCGCACTTCTTCGGTCTCTCGTTTTCATTATTTTTCAATACCTGTTGACAAAAAAAAACAAAAAAATGTTTAGTAATTAAGTTTTAATTTTGTTTTGAACATAAATGTATTTATTTTATTAATGTATGTATTTAAAATTTTATTACACTAAATATAAAATTGAAACATGGAAATATTCCACTTTTCCATTTGATTATGCTAAGTATATTAGTTACAATAAAAATTAAGTATTTACCTACATTATTCACATTTATCGATTATAAGTAAAATAATTCTTAGTTAAAATTATTATTTTAAGTAGTATAAAATTAAAAAATAAATTTTAGGATTTATATTAAAATTATATATTTTATCTAAAAGGTTATTTATCAACATTACATTATGTTATGGCAATATTTTAATTGATTTATTTGCAATAGTATATAAAAACTGATTTAAAGGGATTACCGCTATTGATTCTATGTAAAGGATTCATTAATATCAATTTATGATGGAGATTCTCAGGGATTTTAACAAAAAAAATTGATACCCATTATTTTATTACACACCATTTTGTGATGAACTATACGATTAACTATACTTTAATAGTACCAAATAAGTCTTGTTAAAAATAAATACAACTTTTAGTCATCTTTAACAACATTTAATATAATTTTTGTTCACAAATATTATAATACCTTAATTAATAGTTAATAAAAAGTAAAATTTAATACTTTAAAATTCTTGGTTATATAAGTGTAGAATGAGAATTTATCATTCCACATAATGATAATTAATCACTAATAAAACAAAAAGAAAACTTTTTACTTAAAAAACTTATTAAAAAAATTAGGAAAGTAATAATGAATTATTTTACTTGGAAAATCAAAAAGGAGGAAATTTTAACTATATAAATTTTTTTTAATTTATAATCAGGAAATTTATGTGATAGATATTGATAGCTCTTGTCGATTAAGTTTGAATTTTAGCAATTACTTAAACAAATATTTATTACTAAGTTTTAAAATCAAATATCCATTTAAAATTATTTGAATTAATAAATACCATAGAAACTAGTAGGAGTAGATATAAAGTTTTTTTTAAATATAAGCTGTTGTGCATTCAGACAATATAAACATGTTAATGGTTTTTCTCGTAAATCCATTAAATGTTTTTCAACCAATGATTATAATTTATCGAGACAAGTCTGAATGACTTGGTGGTTTTGAACTTTTCTATAAACGACAAAAGTACTCACAAAACTCATTGGAGCATCCGCTTTTTTACAGATAAAAAGAAGTCGGCGCTAAGTGCATTTGAAACTAATCGGTTCCAAGAAAAATAATAATTCAATATGACGCCCGTTTTACAACATTTGAATTCAAATTACAGAGAAGTCAAATTTATTTGTATTTTACAGCGTTCGTTTCTAATGATGTTTTTATTTACAAAACGCCATTTTTCGCTGAGCATAACACTAAAGGCAAATGTATTCAGAATAAAATTTCTACGACCGAGACGCTGACAATGTTATTTTAATAGCAAGTAACCAAAGCAAATCGTGTGAAATCAAAAGAAACGATTTCCCGATGGAGCAGCACGCACGGCGACTAACGGCCATAGCTTTTGTGTTTCGGGCATTATGATATTATTAAGCACAAAGCATATGAAAAGCTTTTCGAAAAAGAAAACTATTTAACGCACATGTCGTACTAATAACTCTTATTAAATTATTCCGACGTTCAGGTATTAAAATCGGCCGTTGATACGGTAGGTAATAAAACGGTGCGGCATTAATATCGGGCCGTTGTGTTTATCGTGCCATTAATAACGCGCGTTATACCCCGTTCAGTTTGTATTGTAGTGTTTGTTCGATGATAATAAACAGATAACCATAAATCCGGTTAGCGGTTTCAAGGTATAAATGGTTTTTATTATGGCGAAGATTGAAAAATAATAATGACGATGCGATTGGATGACGCGGACCGAGCGAACGGCCTCGGCGCTTTTCTGAATCAATCGATGCCGGTCACCGGCGGCGAATCTAAAAGGTCCGCAAAACCGCCTATCTACAGGCACATAAATGAATTTCCCGACAGTAATGGAATTATAATATTACTCGATTATGGGCAACGTCTGTTGAATAATTATTTCGCCTCAGACAACGTTTAATTTCACATTGTTAGTGTGCGACATTAATTGAATTGCCGAACTGGACTACGTCGAGTTCCGCTTTTGCCAATAAAAATAACTTCCGCGTACGTCATTAATTAGTGACATTGCGCAGAGGAAAAGAAAGCAGCGTGTTTCGTGAAATTGCATGCAAAGAAAGGACATTTTTTGTAAAAAAATCAGCGTACCGTCTTTACGATTTCAACGCAGACGAGTCGAAAAAGAAGCGAAATCCTTTGAAATCGACCGAAGTAACGACAAAGAAACCACGAAAAATAAAAAAATGACTAGAAAATGATGAAACATTTTATTTTTTATTCGGGTCTGCATAGATGGCAAAGGATTTGCAATAATAAAAGAAGAATGTTACGACGGGTGTACGTGTATTATCTCAAATTATGTTTCTTTCGAAATATCGTGTACACACAGAGTTGTTTGTGTTGGAAGAGAGTAAGATGAAAGGTGCACTTTTAGCAGGGCCTTATAATTCGAGAGCGCACCGTCAGTTAAATGAGAAACACAACATTAATTCACAATGTGTTGATACAATCTAAAGCGAATAATAATAGTAACGTCTGTACGACAAATGAAAACATTAAAACGAGCGCTCGTTGAATTATGTCGAATTTCAAACAACAAGAAAATGAAACGCACGTCGACCCTGTTATTCTTATGATTATACAAATACACGACATGCTTTGTGCAGACGTTGTGCATTACGTGAAACAATAATGTCAACAATACAGAACGTAGTCGGTCGCTAACAAGTAATAACTATAAATAACCACCCCAGGGCAATATGACGTTAATCCACACGATATATTACTCGGAGGGTAATGTAGTGAGCTTTCGATACACGTGAACCATTTTTAGACTTTCGGCGCGCTGGTTTTCCGTCGACAATATCCGCGTGGAGTTTTCCGTTTTCACGCGCAACGCTTCTGCGGAGACCAGTTTTTCCATCGCAGTGAATCGCAAAGCTGTTGTAAAGTTTTCCAGCCTAAAATTAAAATTTAACATCAACTCCCTCGTCGTGTCCCAACGGGAACCTCCCGAAGCGATGAGTTATTTTTCCAAACACACTGTGCACACTGTTGGAAGTTGGTTTTTCAGTCGGACCATTAGCGCGTCTCGCGGACCGCTGTGGGGGTGCACCGCTTACGAAGTTAAGATACCAAGCGGAGTTTAAACAGGAGAAATCGTGCATGCGTTTATTTTGTTTCCTCCTCCTCACCGGATCATAATTTGAAACGTTTAAGCGGATTTCGGTTATCGGTGAATCGAGAAAATCGGCTTTAAAAAATAAATCTCACTACCACCCCCCAGACAACGGCGACGGGGTACTCATAAATAACGTTTATAAATCATGCAAACGAGAAGCGCGGCCGTTATCCTTTATGCTCGAACAAATGAAACGTCTGCATGTTACTTCGGAAAGATGATAGAATCGCATAAACGATCATGTTTACAGAATATGTGTGCCGACAACGAGCGTTGCCCCGTACAGGAAAAATACTTTTGCTCAGAATAACGACGACGATAACGAGAAAATCAACAGCGACGACAATAATTAGCCGCTGCCTTTGTGCCGGTCATGAGGAGGCAATGGGTTTTCGTACGTGTGTGTTCCAAACGATTTCACTGCGATGCGCTCGTAAATACAAACAACAAACATCGTCGGCGTTTAATTTGTACGTGAGCCCAACAAACTGGGCGACAGTGCAACGGCGCGTTTAACTTTATAAGTAAGAAAATAACGGAAATGAGTTTCATTGGCTTTTGAAAAGTTCAAGTTGTCTTCGTGAGAAGTTTGGTGGAAAAATGTTAATCATTGTTGTGCGGTGTATGCTGCTGCCATGGCGAACGCCGTCGACTGCAGAAACTTTCTCCGGTTTGTGATTTAATTCCACTTTTTCCCTCCCTCCGTCTGCGCCAACCAAGTTTTTCGACCGATCCTCCTCCGAAAAGCACGTGCCGACCGGGTTGTGCTGTCAGCCATGTCGCGGAAAAATATCTTCGCGCACAATACGTGTGTACGTTGTCTGTTACTCGCCTTTGCAATCGAATTCCGCTCTTTAATCGTTTCTGTCATGCCGTTTACCTTCAATAACACTGTTCGACATAGAGACCCGGCTGACAAATCGTATCCGTTTGATAACTTTTCATTTTTCTATAGCTCAACTCGGCACACTTTGTTATAGCACAAAACATGATGTATTTTCTGACAGATATCGTTTCACGTGCGACGGGAACATAATACCCATTTCACCGTCGGCAAATGTCGACCTATCTATTAATTTAGAATTCGTCATGTTTTCGATACGACCGGGGAAGTTTTCAATACACTGCAATAATAAAAAATGTTTCGACATCCTCTCGGATAGGATTTCGTTTTTAAATAATTATACTGCCAGGTTAAAAAATAGTTTTTCAATATTTTATTGTTTAAAAGTCTACTTCAATGTAATTAGTGTAGGCTCGAATATATATTTTTTTATGCGACCTTTAAAATCGCATCCTTTTTCGCTTGTTACGTTGTTTTATCATTAATTAATTAATAAACAACCCTCGCGGTAAATGTTTATGTGTGCAGTATTTTAATCCTCATAATTTACTTTTTGTTTTGAATTTCTTGACCGTTCGACTGACAACCATAACTTACTTAAGTTTCGTCGTTATTTTAATGGAAACCAGTAAATTAAAAGTTGCAAACTGATACTTTAATATAATATATTATAGCAGAGAGTATACGGGTCATGCAAACATGCACGTTCTACTGTCGTTTATCAGAAAATCATTATTTCTCTTTGTCTAAAAACCAAAAAGCCATGCAATTTTCTAAAGTAACTATTGAATAGATTACATTTATTTTTGTCTGCGACCGCATCTC